CTCCAAAGAACTTCGCCCTGGCTTTGCGATCCCAACGTTTCCGACATTTCCATCCAAATCCGCGAAGGCGTTGGTTGCCACCACGCTCGATTCCGGGGCTCGCTGCATGCCAACATCAATAGCCTGATTTAGGTTTGGTTCGCCAGCTTCTAGCAAATACACGATCCATCCATTAATCCAATCTGCTTGACTGCAGGTATGAAGTGTCTTTTCAAGAACCGAGTTCGCGAGGATCTCACGTAAGAAAACCCGGGCAGGGTCGCAGTTGTACGCGTTTCGGTCCAGGAAACCAAGAAGGTCCTCGGCCACCATTTTGAATTTTGACGCTTGCTGACGTTGATTCAAGAGATTGGCCAAATGGCAGTCGGGGTTGGATGCCAGGTAGTTGTAAACGGCGTCGGCGGCAGTCATACTACTATCTGGAGGAAGCTCAGAGAAAGCGGATGCGAGCTCGGACATGAACACGATGATAATGGAAGATGAGTTGGTAAGAAGATCGAGAAAGGCATCCGCAGGCCGCTTTCGGCTCAGGTGGCTAGAAACGGAGAGAAGGTAAGATGTGAGCGTCTTGCGACACGCCAAAGGAAACGAGTGGTCAGTCGGAACAATCGGACTGTACCACCACTTAACATAGTCCCTGACAATAGCATCGACAAGGCCCCCAAGTGCCTCACGGGTCTCTGGTCGGAACTCGTCGAAATTTTTCAGAGCCGGCTCTTCATCATCGCTGCTGTCTTCGCGCTTCTCTCCTGTCTGGTTGTTTTTGGCCTCCAGAAGCCTATCTATAACGTCGATCCCTCGCTCTCGTCGCACAGCTTTGGCGAGCTCTGGGTTACGCGCTTCCCACGAAATGAATCCGGCAACTCCGCCCAAGGCGCCGATTAAAACGAGACCTAAGCGTCCCATAGTGAAGTATGTGAAAGCAGCAAACCCAACTGCGACGCCGGCAAGTGACTCTGAAGTCGCTGTGGCAAAGAAGTGGATGACTTTTGCAATTGGAGTGCCATCTTCAGTTGCAGTTCTTGTATTGCTCGTTTCGGTTCTCGTGGAATTCGTAATGGGGTTGTCAGAGGTCATTGCGTCGTTTGTTGCAGTCATCTTGTTAGCAAGATCATTTGCATCTGATTGCTTATCTGTTAACAGCGGCTTGTCGTCGTCTTGTGTCTGTGAAAGTGTAGGCAATGGCGATCCATTGAGTGCTATAACCTTCGGCTTTGACGGGTTCGTAAAGGAAGCACCTGGCTGAGGCGCATTTTGGTTGGGGAATGCGGTTGGACTCATGGGGAATGGAAAGCTGTCTAGGGTCGTTTCGGTACGCAATCCAGATGTTGAGGCTCTCCTAACGAAAGAAGGAGACACTGGAACCCAGGTGAGCTCCCGTAAGCATAGCCAATGGAAATAGAGAGTTGGATGAGAAACGTGAAGAAAAGTGAAACCGAGAGCAAGAGGAGTAAAGCAGTAGACTAGGTAAATGTAGGGAATGAAATGAAGGAATCATGCAAGGTTTGGAATTTGTCTGGAACGCTGGGGGTAATGGATGTGGTCGAATTACAGCAGGCGCAATAGCTGGTGTCGCGTGTCTGAGGTGCCAGGTGGGCTTTTTTAGCCTCAAATTGCCGAGCATTGGAATTGCTTGTCTTCAAGTCTTCAGGGGTCATGGCCCCTAAACCCAAGGGTAGGGCTGCGACCAAGAACTGAAGAGAAAGCTTGATAAAATACGCTGTGAGAGGGCATGCCAATTTCATCCTAAATTTGTTCGAATCTTTCTATCACCCAAGATCGAAGTAACAAGTTCATGCTGGTGCGGTCCGTGTCACAAAATAGTGGACTTCAACTGCCATCGTGCACTAAAAACGGCAACAAAGTCTAATGCTGCCCCTGATTTATCTCCACTGCAGAGTTACGGCGTCCAATCTTTCTTGTGTAATGTCTTGTTTCGTTTGATTACCCTTGCCAGGTTTATGTACCCTAGGACGCCTTGACGTGATCAGTCGATCTTTAATTTACTTGATGTAAGATGGTGAAAACTTGAGTGAATATCTGAGGTGACGAGAGAGGATAATCCTGAACCTACCTAAACATGCAAGCCCAAGGTATCGTGCCGGAAAGTTTACGACCGCATGATAAGATCCAATACGTACCTGAGGTGGTTTGCCGAGTGGATCCAATCTTGATATATCACGTGCATTGGTGTCACATCGCGCGTAGCTACCAATCGCGTCTCCTCCAGGCTAGGAGGCAGGTCTAGTTCAAGCTCAACTTTCAAGCCAAGTGACAGACATCTCAACATCTTCTGAACGAAACAGTATTAGAGTGTCCAACTTTTGAAAAGACTTTTACGATTCTCAAAATGGCCCGCACATCTGCTGCCAAAAAGCGCGCTGCCGATTCTGACAGTGAGCCCGAGACTGTTTCTAAAAGAGTCAAGAGTGGAACATCAGTTGAGTCGGACGGTAAAGATGATGATGGAAATCCATTCTGGGAGGTACGCGAGTTCGAAGCATCTACCGTTGGGCTCGTGCGCTAATAGGACGTGTTCAGCTCTCAAACAAGCGCCGTGTTGGTGTATCAGACTTCAGCAAGAAAACCTTTGTCAATATTCGCGAATTCTATGATAAGGATGGCAAGTCTTTGCCTGGCAAGAAGGTATTTCTGGAGGTTTCATTCACCTTGGACATCTCACTGATTAGTTGAGTAGGGTATTTCGCTTTCCATCGAGCAGTACAATGCTTTCCTTAAGGCTGTTCCACAGATCAATGCTGTTCTTCGCGCCAAGGGTCTCGTAGTTGAGGGTGACGTTGCAGACGAGCCTGAAACTGCTCTGATTCCAGCTGCCAAGGCTAAGAAAGAGCGAAAGAAGTCACCGAAGGCGAACATTGAGACCACCAGTGAGGAAGAGGACTAGAGCGGCGTATCCGGCATTTTCTTATCGAATTTTCTTTCTAACGTCTTTTCGCACTGGAGTAGGGCTTGTGTTAGCACTACGTATACCACACATGGAGTTTTTGGAGTCGCGGTCATCACGCCCGTGGGGCCCAATCGGTGATTTGTGCATGGGATCACCTTCTGGCTCTATGTCAGAATGATAGATTTCAGCAAAGTAACGAGAGGAATAGTAATATAATCAAGGCTCATAGAGCGGACATGAAATCCAGAATGGTCAATGTATAATCGCATCGGACCTATGATGACAAATACCATGCAAACAAGGTAACTCAAGTTAATTACAACATCTAGCATAGCGAAAGACTTGGTCTCGTTATGCAGCAGATAAGCTTTACTGGAATATATCAAAATCAAGATTCACATTGATGGCAACGGTCCTGCTTTATCAAGGTAAAGCCATGGGGTCATGGGGGGTTTATCTGCAGCAAGAGTCTTGCCGATCTGAAACAGAGCCTATACGACGATGTGAACAAGCAAAACTTCAAGAAATGACTTACTGGGAACACGTTATTTGTAAGATGGAAATATGTATGTCACACCGGGTTATCGCTCAGCCGTTCGGACTATCGCAATCATATGGGGCAGCGCAGCTTTACCAACTACTGCACTACGCAGTTTTCCAATGTCCAACTCGCACCGCTTGGCTTTGTCACTCGGAGGTTGAGGAGATCTCCGTCAGCCTTCCATTAACTTACAGGGAATACTCTCAGGAGAGCATCCGACGCTAATGAATGAGAACTGTGCGCTTTTAGAACTTGTATGCAGTCCATGGCAGGGTTGTAGCTAGCTCGAGATTCGAATCCGGCTGGTAGATAGGCTTAATGAGCGGATGGTTTCTGGAGACGGGAGTTCTTGTGTCTATACGGACTAGACGGATAGCTTAACATTACCAACAAACCCCATGCTCGTCCTTGGTTTCAAATCTCGAAAGGGGCGGATCGACGCGCAAGCCTTATTCCCGACGAGCTAGCTTGTCCTCGATAAGAAACTTATTGCAATCCAAAGTTTAGCAGTCAACATTCGCCTATCAAAGTTCTCATTCCAGTTAAATATTAAGAGTCTGGAACAATTCCACGGCTGTGATTAGGAGAAAATATCAGGTCTGGAACTCGAATAGTAAATGACTGCGCCCCGCTCACTCACGCTTCAACCAAGTATCATGAAGTTGATCAGCAACTCTAAGTTACAGCATGGCAATGTCGGCTGCGGCCTGGCTACCTGGCAATGGTGATTAGTAGCCAGCCACTGTACTCCGTATCCAGACTTTCTTTCAACACTGGTCGCTTTGAGGATTCAGCTGCATTGCAGTCCTTATCAGAAGTTAAAGAACCTAGATAGAGAGACTTGCTGGGTTGCTGCTTCAGTATTAGTGATCTTGGGGGAAGACGCAATGCCATGTTTTCTAGAAATGCCTTATTATCAGGAACATTACGAGTGCTATACAAGATCATGGCGGTAACACAAGTCCTGATGCCAAGCCCCCATAGAACGGGAGATGGATGGGTGATGATGCTGATGGATGCCCAGCTTTAGCGCCTCCCAAGCCCCTGGACCCAGCAAAAATCGGACCTACGGCCTCCTATTTCGGGCTTAACATCCAATATTATTTGCTGGTTCTATCCACCTTAACTACCTACTGACTTGTCCTCTCATCTCCAAGTCTGTGCCTTGTTTCACCCTCTCATCAACTGTACAATTGAATTCCTCGTTTTCCTTTGTTGATTTTTACATTATCATCACTCTGGTCACTCTTTGTTTTATTTGTTTTGCCCGAGGGTTTTCTTTTACAGGTTTCTGCTCCTAACAAAGCTACCGGAACTCACGATCGGCTCTTCCGCTCAGTGACGCAGCTCAACAACAAACCATTATAATCCTTCCCGTTCAAGCTCTTTTCATCAGCCATCAAGCCACGGGTTTATCTAATCTTTCAAATCCAATTTGTCTCTCGTGTGTGAGCGGCAGCATCACGTCTATCTGAAAATATCCTATTTTTGTTTGATGTTTGTGCTATTAAAGTTATAATCATCTTGTTATTGCAAACACCAGCTTCTGAAATGCGCATTTCATGGCGTCTCGGCTCTGGATACGTCGAGTCAGTGGATGACTATATCGGCGTGTTAGTGCCACTAGAGGAAGCTCATCTTTACAGCCAAGCGGCTAAAGCGAAGGGCGCCGGCCATGGGGAAACGCGGGAGGAGGGCGAGATGGACGATTTGGAGATGAAAGAAGAACGCGAGGGCATGCTTGAAGGTGATGCTGCTGAGTATACGGTAGATGGCCTACGCAAAGAAATGAGAGAAGGGCGACGAGGTCAATGGACGACATATGAGAGTGAGTGCTACATTTAAGACTGGTGCATTTATGAGCTAACGGGGTTTCAGTCAAATCAAAGCTCATGAATAAGGCAATTGGAGATATCGGTATGGGCAGTTATAACTGGCAGTTATTCGTTCTCTGTGGATGTGGATGGTTCGCCGACAACCTTTGGATGCAGGGAGTGTCACTCTGTCTGCCATCTCTATCAGGCGAATTCGGTGTCGATGAAAAGACGGTTCGATACACAACCAGCGCCCTGTTCGTCGGTCTATCGATTGGGAGTTTTTTCTGGGGAATTGGGTCCGATTTCCTTGGTCGTCGCATTGCCTTCAACACTACCTTGCTTATTACCAGTGTCTTTGGCATCATGTCCGCTTATGCCCAAAGCTGGGGCAGTGTTTGCTTCTTCTTCAGTGCCCTTGGTTTCGGCGTCGGCGGCAATCTTCCTGTTGATGGTGCTCTCTTCCTGGAATTCCTCCCTGATGCTTCCAGCGCTTTGCTCACTCTGCTGTCCGTCTGGTGGCCCTTTGGACAACTTGTCTCATCTCTGATTGCATGGTACTTTATCGGCAACTGGCCAGTTGAACAGGGTTGGCGATACTTCATTGTCACCATCGGCATTGTTACTTTCGCCATGTTTGTTGTCCGATTCTTCGTCTTTCATCTCTTCGAGTCACCCAAGTTCCTTCTTAACAAGGGTCGCCAACATGAAGCAGTGGCTGTCATTCATGGTCTGGCATACCGTAATGGTACCAAGACGTGGCTTACTTCAGAGCTTCTCGACTTGGTTGCTTGCGAGGATGGCGAAGATCTAGCTCATGTTGCAGAGAAGAAGATTCCTGCTCCATCGACTATTGGTTTCCTCCGTGAGAAGTTCCAGTCATTTTCTGGAGAGCGCCTGCGACCTCTATTCCAGAACAAGACCCTTGGCATGGCAACTTCTTTGATCTGGTTCTGCTGGGCTACGATCGGCATGGGATATCCTCTTTTCAATGCTTTCCTTCCTCAATACTTTGCTCGTGCACATAACGAAGCATCGGATAACATGCAGTCCGAAACAGATACCATCTCATCAGACACATACCGCAACTACGCCATCGCATCTGTCATGGGCGTCCCTGGGTCTCTTCTCGCTGCATACCTCGTTGATCACCCGTCCCCATTCCTCGGTCGTCGAGGAACGCTTGCTAGTTCCACCCTCCTCTCCGCGGTGTTCCTTTTCCTCTTTGTCTTCTACGGCACTACATCAACTGCCCAACTACTAATGTCTTGTGTCGAGGCTTTCGCCCAAAACATCATGTACGGTGTTCTGTACGCCTTTACGCCTGAAATATTCCCTGCTCCTGTTCGAGGCGCTGGCACCGGCGTGGCCAGCTTCCTGAACCGCATTACTGGCCTCATGGCACCCATCATTGCCGCTACCGTTCCTGGCGATGGTGCTACTACACCTATTATCATGTCTGCGGTCCTTATTTTGTCTGCTTTTATTGGCATTTGTCTCATTCCCATCGAGACAAGAGGTGCCTCACGACTTTGAGTCCTCGACTTTCAATTAAATGCGGCCCTGCAAGCATAATAGACACCGCACAACCTTTGTTACAACACACACATACTAACGACCTGGAGTCAAAGAGTGGTCTTGGGTATAACTTGCATTTCTGATGTCATTTACAACGGGGTTTGGCAGTGCTTTGTATTTCATGCTGTCCATAAAGTTGTCTGCATAGAGCATACATTAACTAGTGCTTATTTAAAGTTACAATAGATATTGATAACGCTTGTCTATCTGTTACCTTTCGCACCTGCCGGTGCATCAACTCTCCTCTTCCTCAGTGACATTCCCATGGCATCTCTAACCATAGGGTCAGCTCTAATAGTATTCTGTACAAGCCACTCCCTCATCTTGCCCTGTAGATTGGACGTTGCATCATTGTCACCCTTAAAGGGAGCCATTTCCATATCCAATAGTCTTACAGCATCTCCGTCAAGTTGCTTTGTCAGCATTTCAAGGCGATGTAGGCTTTGTCTTAGAGCCTTTTCGTCGTCCTCCTCAGACTTTTCTGGCCCCGTGATCATGAATGCAATGAGAGGTCCTATCTGGTTGAGAGCAATATAGAAAGTGATCGTGAGTCTCCGGGCGAGAGAGATGATCTGGAAAGGTAGATATGGTGGCGAAGATGTAAATCGGAGGAGGACGGCGTTGATGGCACTGACAAAAGGTGGGAAGTCGGGACGTGTTACGGCATGGAGCTCGAATACGCAAAGGGCGATCAGGACTAGCCACCGATAGTATTTGCCAAACTCCATGTAGCCAAATAAGCCCAGAATGTAAATTGATGCGGCAGCCACAACGTAGTGAGGCAGGATGCCGGAGACAACACCACGGGTAACATAATCTCTGATAGTAACGCATTTCTGCCACCGCGCAATCTCAGGTCCGAAGCGTTCATATGCAAATCTTTTCGCGGTATCTTGTAGCGTATCACTAGCAACCTTGAGGTGCATGAAAAAGGCTGCAGAATCGCCAGCGTCCTTGCCTGCTTTGTCTGGGTGGTGCATAGCAGCCAAGCGACGGAAGCGCGTCTTGATCTCGCGATCGGCAGCATCGAGTGGCACTCCGAGATCTGCATAGTATGAGGATATGCGGCGCTGTTCATAGTCCGCTTCGAAGATTGTGTAGCAGAGGTAGGCAGCGACAACGAGAATATGTATGGTGCGTCGATGCGAATTATAGCGGGCAGAGCCAGGGGCAGGCTTTGGATCGCCGGCGCGAATGGTAAAGCCGTAATAGATGGACTGGAGCCATCCTGTTGCAAGCTACGAAGCGGTTAGCAGGTCAAGCAAATTCTCCGAGAAAGAATCTCATACATTTGGGAGAAAGGCCCAGCCTAGCATGGACAAATAGCCAGACATGGCGGGCAGCGGATCATTGGAAGATGTTTAGTGAGTTTCGGAATTATATGCGAATGCGTTAAAGAGCAAGAAAATTTCTGGCATCAACCAAGTTGAGAATACCCGAGTTAGTAGGTTGTTATTTGATGTGGCCAGATTGTACCGTAGTAAGGAAGCTTGCAAAGGCTCGCGCTGGCAATTGTTAGTTGGTGTTTCGAGCTCCAGTGCGTCAGAGTGGGTCTAGAGTCTTACAAGCCGAAGCCATTTCTTTGTCATTGCGTCCACGACTCTTCAGCTTCAGTTACTCATACAAGCACTTTCGCTGACATACCTAGTACGGAATAGCAGAATAAATCTTGAATGCCTTTGTTATATGCTTACCTCCACACAATAACCGCTATAAATAATTGAGAGTCTGGCTTGGACGTTGATCCCCGTTTCGGTGTCAAAATGTAGTCATCTCTCGTGAGGCTTGAGTAAACATCAAATTATCACTTCCTATCTTTCATATACTTAGATGCTATTGCCAACCGAGCATCTACTCTTTGCATTGCTCTCCAAAGGAACGCTGTGTGCCTGGCGAGAGCTATGCGACTGGGGTTCTGAGCCAGCCATCTCATCGTTGCATTCTACCAGCCCTCACAACGAGTAGATGCATAAAGAACGTGCCGAAAACAGACGTTAAAATCGTCGAGCTATTGATCGTATTATTCAACTTGTGGTAGAATTACTGTTATAATTTGTGGCTGCGAAGGCTTGAAGCAACATGCTGGCAGTCAGTCAGTACGAGTGTGGGGATATTGTTTTATATACATAAGTACCTAGCCTTAAGCTTTCTCTGAGGGCTCTGCTTTCACTCGCAGTCTCCCCAGACACTGCCTTTCTGGTTTTTTGGCCATGCGATTTTCATTGATATTAGCGTTTGCTACGGCAGCTTTAGCAGCGTGCAATGGTCATGATGAACTCTGCGGGCGAAAATATTCTGACATCACTTTCATTGGGACACACAACAGCGCTTTTGTTGGAGAGCTTCCAATTAACAACCAATACATCTCAGTCTCAGAACAACTCAATTTAGGCGTACGGTTCTTGCAGGCTCAGACACAAGACAAGGATGGCAATATACAGATGTGCCACACTCACTGCTGGCAACTGGACGCTGGACCATTGCATAACTATCTAGAAGAGATATCAGAATGGGTCGGGAAGAACCCAGATGAGGTTGTGACGATACTACTGACGAACGTCGATGACCTACCGATTGAAAAGTTCGACGAAGCTTTCAGTTGTGCAGGGTTAAAAGACCTTGTCTTTCGTCCCAAGAAGAGGGTTTCTCGAGACGAGTGGCCAACTCTGCAAGAGCTACTTGATGATGGAACTCGGCTTATTGTATTCATGGGTATGCCTTGTTCTGTTGATTCGTTTCTTGAGCTTACTGGCTGTTATAGATTTCAACATGGATGTGAGCAAAGTTGACTACATACTTGATGAGTTCCACTATTTCTGGGAGACTCCATTTGGTGAAACCGACTCCTCGTTTCCAACCTGCAAGGTTGACCGCCCGGAGAAGGGGGATCCAACCGTACTCATGGGGATTATGAACCATATGTTGAACTACGACATCATGGGTGTCGTCGTCCCAAATCAGGCCGATGCAGAGAAGACGAATTCAGAGTATTCTATCCAAAAACAGGTAGACCTTTGCGAGAGCAGCTGGGGCAGGCGACCGAATGTCGTTCTTGTAAGTGGCGAATAAATCTTAAAAAATTGTATCTAATTGAATGGCACAGTTGGACTGGGTTAACGTTGGAGAGGCAATGGACGCCCAGATATCTCTGAATGGTTTACGAGGATCGCACAGTTGAATTCCCGCAAACGAAGGCCGTACTAAGAGTCATGTACACAGACATCTTCCAGTAAATCCCCCGAACTATCTACAGATTAATATGACTTACATTCACGCACTGCGATCCAACAGTCACAGTCGGACGGGCTAATCGACTATCAGTGTGATTCGCTTGGTGGTACCGGTTGCCATTCCAGTAGTACCGTCCTTCAGTACTGAGAACCCCCATCTGCCTGTTCCTGTAATGTCAGGAGTTCCTTCAAATCCCCAAAAGATGTCTAACCCCGGATCGTGAATGTAATTTTTGGCATATGTACCTTGGAATAATTCCGTTCGGCCGAGGTCATCATATCGTGGTTGTTTTGACATGATGTTGTTATGTTGTTGATGAAGACTGCAAAACGGTATGTAAAGGCTAGCTGTTGATTGGTAGCCTAAAAGTACCTTGGCTGCTAGCGGGAAGATCCAGGGATTATGTTCCTGGCTAGCGCAGTCATCCCCTAAGCAAACTCTATTACATCCTTTGGACCCCCCTTAGGGAGCAAAAAAACACCAGACTTATTAGAGGGTGTCAAAAATAAACTCGGCAAAGAGCGCCCTAAGATTAGGCTAGATTTACCTAAGCACTTTTATCGCTTTGGGTCAAAGTCCTAACTTTTCTTTCCTCCCCTAAACCCCAATGGTCAGATGCCTCATTTTGTTTACTTGGCCCGCAAAAACAAAGAAAGATGTAATGGATACCCCAGAATACGAGTCGGGAGGTTCTTCACTTGCCTATGTGCCAAAACGGGCATGATCCGAGGAAAGGCTACACGATTCGTGATAATGCATTGCACAGAACCAAGACAAGACATGCCAGAGCCCTCGTCAAAGTCTCAAAGAGCCCCTTTTCATAGTCGGAATGCCGAATCTGAATCACTTGGGCTTTTGCTTGTGACGCACGTAGTTGAGTAAATATCTTGGCCAGACCTATGTCGACTACTGTACAGCCTAAGTAGGTAGACAAAATGGAATCTTAACTTTCCTGATTGAGCCTGCAATTTCACATCCACTCTTCATCTATCTATTGGCAGCCCAGCGGACATAAACATCACACTTCCATCATTTGCCGTCCCCTCTACAAATCTACCTACACCTCATCTTAGTGGCGCGCCTCCTTTTCCGGCTTTGTCTCCCTGATCTTCCTACCAGCCTTAGCAAATGTTCAATTAAGCATCCAATTTGTGATTTCCTCTGGCATCTCTGGCTTTCTTTCTTTCTTTCTTTTTTTCCCTTTTCTTTCTTCCTCTCTCTTCGCCTTCTTTTGTTTTCTCTTTCCATCATCTTATATCTCCCCCACACCCAGACCCATACAATGTTGCTTCGCAAGCTCGGGCATGCCCTGGCTGCGACAGCAGGTAAGTTTGCCCTCTCTTCTAAAAGACGAGGTCTTTTATCTTTTTCTTACTGCTGCTGACAAGCATTCTTCGGCAGCCCTTTTTCCAGTCGCTTTTGCCAAAGATGAAGGTGGTCAATCCACCTTCGTTTCCCCAGACGGAGACGTAGCGTTTGCGATTGACATTGGCGAGAACACCAACACCGAAGTCTACTTCAGTCTCCGCGTTAAGAAGAATCGATCCTGGGGCGCTGTTGGTCTTGGAAGCGAGGATATGCCCGGAGCTCTATTCCTCATGGTATACAAGAGCCGGACCACCAACAATGTTACATTCTCCCCGCGACTCGCCTACGGCCATTACGAGCCTTATTATTGGGATGAGATGGATTACGAAGTTCTTAATACCACAGGAATTATTGACGAT